CTCCTCTGACCCGGCAGACGAAGGTCACAGAGGTACCGACGTGGTACGGTCCGGCGCGTCCCTCCACCCGGCGGCCAGAGTCGTCCACCACCTCCGGGGTCCCGGGAGGTACTGTAGGACATCAAAGATTGTGACAGTTTCACTGCAGCACACAATAATTCGTACAGAGACACTGAAGCACACAATACGAGTAGGTCGCCGACTCGCCAGCTAGATGTAAAAAAAAATGTTTTAACGACCTCATTGTCACCGATGGTGTTAGTGTCACTTAGACACTTATGCCATTTGTAGGTGTCTAAAGCACTTAACAATGCTGGAGTAAAGCTGGCGAGAATGCTGTGCTTTTAAATAGTGGTTTTAACAGTCAGGCCGTCTTGCTTTCGGTGTGTCACACAGACATCGTCCTCGGTCACTGGGGACTCCGAACTTTGGCCCACTAAATTCCACTAAATTCCCCCGCGCGTTCGAGCGGCACGATCCATCGGAGAGATCGCCGCCCCAGCAACAAACTGGCTCATCCGAGAGATGAGGCGGATCTTGTATCCATCAATCCTACTTACATTTTGGTGCCTACATAGGGTGGCACAGACGCCAGCAGCGGCGCCGCCCGGGCCGGGTCGGGCGCACAGGCTGGGCCGGCGGTCCGTCTCTTTACGAGCCCATGTGTCACCGGGGGTCGGTATACCTCGACAGCCATCAGCCGGCGACCCGGGCCGGCCGGGTGCGCCGCGGGCCAATCAATGGGGCAGGAGGGTCGACAGAACAACGGCGTAAATCGGCACCGATCGCGACGGCCGACGCGCAGCGGAGAACAGACGTCCCACGACCCGATCAGGAACGGTGAGCGAGCCGAGTGCCGGTCACAGTCAGATTATTCAGTGTTATGGTGTTACTTTCCGGCTTTACATCTGTTTTAGTTTCAGTTAATATTTATACGATTGATAGCGATGATGAAATTGCAGACAGACGCTAGGGAATTTGGAATCGCTCGCCTCGATAAACTGCTTACTTCGATTGTAGCTGTCGCTCGCCCTTATGCTCCATCACCTTCTTTGTGGATTTCTCAATTATTGTACGAGCGTCTGGAATTCTCCCTCCTCTCCACGGGGCACTCATTTTCACTGCTCTTGAACTGGCCTTCTGCAAGTCACACCATAGCCCGGAAGAACTCAGCGAAATGGCCAGTTTCTGTCCGAAGTGGAATAAACCGAGATTTTATCGGCGCAGTTGGAGCCATGCGGTTCACGCACCGCACACTATTATGGCCGTTACACCATTCCCCGGGGGTGACGACGATCTCTGCGCGGCGTGTTCGGCCTCCACCAACGATTTTATCCCGCTCCTAGTGCGTGATTTCGCGCTATCGCGAGTCTGGAGCTTCTAAAGCCATCTTCGTAATTGCTAGGAAGTTTTCAGATGCATAAAATGTAATGACCTTCGCTATATTTCTGCCTAACTGATCAAGCATTGTTGTAAGAATTACAGATTAATTAAAGTCAATTAATTAGTCATCTGCAGGCATTAGGTATAGTGCTTCGAAAAAATCGCAAGCATAGAAAGTGTGGGAGGTGACATTACAGGCAAGCTGGACTCATCACGCTGTGAATTATAATGGAACTACGATCTCAGGGAGATTATTTCCAACATAGGTATAGCACACTTCATTCTGTCCAACAACAGCGAGACCTCCCCCATTGCTAACGACCAACAGTCAGGCGGTCCTTCCCCAATGCTGGCAAACGCCAGTCAGCCAGCCCCCTAGGACACTGACCAGTGTCAGTGAGTCTAGACTTCCCTAATATGTAGGTACTGTCCATCAATGGGTCTGACTGCTCCTGTCTCCGAGCCTCAACAGTGACGCGGGCCTTCCCCGATACTGACCAACAGCAGTGAGGACGACCTCTTCCTGACACTGACCTATACAAAGGTGATGCTCCCCCCCCCCCTCACACTGACCTACGACGGTGAGCCTGACGCGGGCGTTGAGCGTCGGTGACGTCTTGAAGTCGGCTCTGCACCGATACATCCCGGCATCGGCCAGCGTGACGTCCTTTATCCTCAGCACCGGCGCCCGACCGTGCGGGTCGAACCGCGACCTGCGCCCCAGGGAGTCCTCGCTGGCCCAGTGGGTGCCCTGGCCCTTCCGACCGCCGCGGGTGTCGTAACTGAAACACGGAGATAGTCGGGCTGCATTAGGACATGTGTAACTTTTATAACGGCATGCAACCAGGCGTGATTCACTGCATAAGTTAGTTCATGTTCGGATGAAGTTGGTGGATTTTGTAACGTGGGTATCAAAATCTACATAGGTACCTACTATATGAATAGCACATATCTGAACCAGCGGTTCGACCTTCTAAGCCAGTGGTCGGCAGGTCATTCGGGGTTGTGCCCCCTTCTTAGGCGCCAGGCAGGGCCATTACCCCCACCTACCAGACCCCATTGCTGACACAACCAAGTTTACTGAAATTCCATACCTTTCTGGAACTCTTGGGCATTTCTGCATTTCCGATGCATCAAATTTAAAACATGACACTTCCTCCACAAAGCATTTAATATATCCCATTTAACCCTCGTACATATAGGGGCGGCGGGTGGTTTTTCGTTAAAAGCTCACGTAAAAGCCGTTGGACCACGACCAAATTGTACCCTCGAGCCAATCATTTTTTTTTTCTTTACCTGCCCGGGAAAACCTGAGGCCAGTTTTACCAACAGAAAAATAGCCGCCTGCCGGAATTTTTGCCTAAAAACCGCTTCACATACGGAGCGTAAGCGCGATGAGCATGTAAGTGGATAGGGCTTAACCGTTTACGCTCCGTATGTGAAGCGATCTTTGGGCGAAAAATTCCGGCAGGCGGCTATTTGTCTGTCGGTAAAACTGGCCTCTGAACCCATAATGATCATTGGCTTTTGCAGAGTTTTTTTTCTGGAGATCTTCTTGAGCCATAAAATCTCACTTCAAGAAGTCATAGCGGGTCCCGATTTTCTCGACACTTGTCTTTGACCTCCTGAATGAGACGAAATGACCAAGGACCTTAAAAATGGGCAGCAGCGGCTTCCTATAGTCACGGGTAATACGCTCGTTTTTTTATGCACAGCTCCATCTCAGAGTCCGAGAGGCCGCGGGGGTCCGATCGACTCCCCCCCCCCCCCCCCCCCTTACGTAAGCGGCTGTGGAAACGCAGACGGGCGACGGTTAAAAATTGCAGCTGCTTTTGTACGACTGTACGGAGCCGCGGTGAGATGGTGAGGCGAGCAGATACGTGAAAATTGGTATCTAATCGATGTGTGCTGTGCCTTTGACCTGGGCTAATCTTTGAACCCTGGTATGCAATAGTCACGATGGTTCCATCAATGGAGCCACTAACTAAAAAGATAGGTTTTCTCAGAATCCCTCATTACCCCCACCGAAAGGGCTCCATTACCCCCAAAGGGGGCATGCCCCACCATTTGCCGACCCCTGCACTATGCAGTATGCAGTTATGCACGTGCCTTTCGTTCAATGCGGAGAGGTTGGCGCGAGTTTTCTTGCACGTTTTATGACATGCCGTGGCGGATTAGGACGTGCACGATGTCTTCCGGGCTACATATTAGACAAGGATGCAATCTACTTGAATGAATTTTTTTGCAATGAAATAGTAAACGTGAATTAAATAATGCCACTGTCGGCCAGGAGAGCACATTTTATTGCTGATTGCTGTGGCCAGCGGCCGCTGTTTCCGGTTGCGATGTGGCCGGTAACTGGGGCTGATTGCAGCACAGCCGGCTCCGGCCCGGTTTAGGATTAAATGAAAACGTATGACACAATGCAACATGGGAAATCATACTACCTTTGCTGTTATAGTCTCTTTGCTAATGCAAAACCTGGTTTTAAACTGCTAGGACATGGTATCTTTATTATTCGACATAGCAAATGTTAACTCCAGTTATTGCTAGTACGCACGTAACGTGTTAAGGGCCACATTCATCGAATGCAGAGAGGCATGTGCACTGTGCAGCGTTCAGAGTTTATATATTGAAAGGCTGGCACCCATTGCAGAAGGATTGCAACAGCTATAGAAAAACTGCACAGTGCACCGAATGTAAAAATACTACACTCGTGCTATGTATAGAAAGGGTGCAATGCTTCAATCACCTGTAAAAGGCCTTCGCCCACCTGTAGAAGGGTAGAGGGACTGCACTGACCTGTAGCAGGGTAGAGGGATTGCACCCACCAGTAGAAGGATAGAATGGTAGAAGGACTGCACACACCTGTAGAAAGGTAGACGGACTACATCCACCTTGACCTATAGAAGGATAGAAGGGCGAAGGCTTGCACCCACCTATAGAAGGGTAAAAGGACTGCACCTGCCTGTAAAAGGGTAGAAGGACTGCAGTCTGCGCCCACCTGTAGAAGGGCAGAAAGGCTGCACCCACCTGTAGAAGGGCGCTCCAGAGCCGCTCCAGTACCAGAGCACGAGCCGCTGCACGTCGTGACTGTTGTCCGGGTCGACGTGGCACGGCAGCTCCGCCACCCCTCCGCGCATGGCCGACACGGAGGTCAACTGGCCTGAGGGAGAGAGAGCACATTGAGGTCAGCTAGCCTGAGGGGGACGGTGAGGTCAACTGACCTGGGAGAGAGGACGGAGAGGTCAACTAGCCTGAGGGAGAGGGAATAAGAGACAGACAGGGAGAGAGAGAGAGAGAGAGAGAGAGAGAGAGAGAGAGAGAGAGAGAGAGAGAGAGAGAGAGAGAGAGAAAGAGAGAGACTGACGTCAGCCTGCTTGAGGCTCGTTTTTACGGTGTGAAAAAAAAACTTATCAAAAACACCTGTGTTTGGTGAGAAATTGTTGCACAAACATAGCACTTTCAAAATAGATCTTAATCATGTTAAGCTCAATCAATTGAACCTGAGTAGACCTAAGTAAACTATTTATCTTGTACGCCTCAATGGATTACCATGTCATCCATTAACATCAGTTCCAGGTTAACAAATGTTTTGACTTTCAGTGCTATTGTATTGATTTTGAAAGGTCATTGAATTTAATCCCAGCAAACGGTGTCTCTCCACACTGATCGCCGAGCTGGAGGAATATTTTGCCAGCATGTTCTGGTGTTTTCGCAGCAGACCTGTATATTTTTGCAGCGTGTTTGCTCCGGACCGGGCGTTCCTTGTAAATACAACTGTGGATCGACACACAATAGACGAGGGAGAACACGGACGGTGCCTCACAACAGCCGCCTGGGCAGTCGAACGCTGTCCTTCGACACAATGCAAAGGTGCTACAATAGAAAGGTGCTGCGTCCGAGCTCAGAGGCGGCAGGTCCGGGGCTCAGCTGAGTTGGGTCAGCTCAGTTCTACACGAAATGTTCGCCTAAATGCTGTTATTCATTTATGTAAAAGTGCAACATTGCTTGCCAATATCAAACAATCCGGTACCTAGGTTCCCAAAAATATGTATAACAGATAACCTTGCTTTCTGTTAAACACTGTGTCACTTTTATATGCATTTACCGCTGTCGTTTGTCTTTTCAATCAATAACCTGAGCCACCCAAACCTCCGTCGAGGTAGGAAAGGCAGCTTAAGTGGCTCACTGCAGAGAGCGCTGGAGCCTGTAAGTAATTGGCTGCAGACGTTCACAGCGCCATTTCAGACACTGGTCGACTATTAACCAGCCATCATTGAGAGAAAGCAACCATCGCGGCTTAAAAATGACCTTCCTAATCGGCGAAGGCTTTAAGTGAGATGTGTCTGGGAAAGTAATGCGGGCACAAACGTTAAAAGTATTATGCGAGTTCTCTCGGTTGGCTATACGAGTATCTTCTTGAGACAAACAAGCTGTGGCAAAACTAGTACGTGTAACGTTATTTTTGTTATTTATATCTAACGTTCAGCAAAGGCTTTCGGATGGCTAAAAGGTAGCATTCTACTTAGTCACAGGCCACAGGCTTGTCTTTGATCACCGGTTCAAACGATGTCGCAAGGTGTTTAACACATTACTCTTAACTTGCCACCCACAGAAGTGCATCGGATCGGAAAGGACTGATTAATTGTATTTATTTACAAAATGAAAATCAAGTACAGTATGAATATTACACAATACTTCTGTATTTGTATCTAACCTTATTATAGAAATAAATTAGATCGGTATGAAATGAACATCGCATTTATTTAGTAATCTCTTTTATTATAGCGCCTGCTAAGTATGTTTATTGTGGAATAACATCCAGAAATACGAACAATTTTAATTATTGCAATTGTTTGTTTCACAAACCTAGCCTTGTCTGAAAAAACGTCTCTCGGCGGTCCGCTTTTTTACGGCACCTCTGCACTCTTACTCCGAAACAATCACACTTCCATCAGCCTCCAAGCTCATTCACGTCGGCCCGCCAGCATTCGTAGCGCCGCTGCGAGTCCATCGGCGTCTCCTCATCCGTCCGTGGCGGGGCCGTTACACCGGCGGAGCCCCCTGGGTCAGCGGTCGGCCGGCTGGTGGCCAGACCTCCCCCTCACTCGCCCAGCTCCCCGGAGATCTCTTACCGGGGCCCAACAGCGAGATGAATAGAGCAACTCAATCATCCTCATTGCATATGCCTTGCCCAGGAAGCGGTCCGATTGCCTCGTCGGGTGTGCGTATACCAGCGATGTAGCTCGGCGTACGTATGCTAATCTGAACAGGTTTTCCACATAAGAATCACAATGAACTGGCTTGAGCAGGTCCATCGTACAAAGCCGGAGGAAGGTTATATGAATTTCTGATTTCGTAAGGAAGGAAGAAATAGAAAAAGAAGGAAGGAAAACTGAAAGAGAAAGGAAAAGATAGAGGAAGGAAGAAGCAGGCACTTTGGGAGAGAACGAGAGAGAGAGAGAGAGAGAGAGAGAGAGAGAGAGAGAGAGAGAGAGAGAGAGAGAGAGAGAGAGAGAGAGAGAGAGAGAGAGAGAGGGAAGGAAGGAAAAGGGAAATGAAAAAGCAGCGCTCTAAAAAAGTGATGTATGAATGGATTACATGACGAGCAAGACAAAAGGTCATCGCCGACCCTTTGCCCCGAGGTGGCGGAGAACACCCCGCCCGGAAGGCCCGCCGCCGATGGTTGGCTGTCCGATTCATCGGTCGGCGGGGCTGCGGACAGATTGGCCGCTTTCAGGGGCCGCTGGCGACGGTGGGTCGGTGGGGACGGCCGCCACTGGCCCTAGGCCTCGGATTGAGAGCGATCCAACCGAGAGCGAAGAGCGGAGCGGCCACCAGCTCCGGTCAGAGCCACTTAATGGCCCGCTCCCGACACCACCTGGGCCCGAGAGTAAAAGCGAGTCTGAGAGACTGGGGTCTGGCTGGCCCGAGCTGTGGCATAGCTGAGAAGCACTAGAAGCAATGGAGAGGAACGTGCGACTGCTTGGTGCAATGTGTCTGATTTAGTATGAACTGTAAGGTTGATTAACTGAGTAACTCCCTTGAACGTTGTTTCCGCACGTCTCGATTTATTCAGCTGAGTCCTTGAGCCATTTTCCTCACTTCAATCACCCCTGTTAGTACGACACTCTGCAGCTGTTGAAATCAATAGAGGAGCTGTCATTCCACCGAGATCGGTTGACAAGCACTCTGGTGTGCGTTCTGCGCCGCGGCGCTGTTTGCTCTCTGTCGAGAGGGACAGAAGTGCGGCGGCTTCGGTCTCGTGTGGTTTCAGGCGGTGAGGCTGTGTGGGCGGGACGGAGGCGAAGTCGCAGAGCGGAGGTGGGACCGTGAAGGCGGCCCGGCGGTAAAACTTACAGTGACACTTGTTCGTGCCAAAACAAAAAAAGGAGAATTGATTAGATGGTATGCAATAAAAAGTACAAACTATTACAGAAGGAATAACTATTAGCAACAAACTTTTTTACAAACAAATATAATATCAACTTCAATGTGCCGCAATATGGGGAAAATGCGGTATTAACTATTCCATAGTAGCTAATCTTTTTTCGATATCACATAGTCACTGTTGGGAAGTTTCCTGGCTACAAGCGGGAGAAATTACAACACTGGCTAGCTAATATCGAGCTCAAAGAACAGCCGTTTTTTTACTGAGATGACACCACGCAGCATTGCCTATACCAAATGTTGTGTAAGTTGCGCCGAAATGACGGACCATTTTATGAAAAGTGGAGCTAGCTGCCGTTTGAAAAGCTTTACAAGCTACGAGGCTATACATTGGCAAAATGTAATATATTTAACGTGGCGATAAGTGTGCGGTAAGCAGGGCTCGATCGGCGGATCTCATCAGCTCCATATCCGCCGGCGCACCGCCCAGCGGCCGGCGCCATCCCATTAACGGCGCCATCGACCCGAGCTCGGCACCGGTATAGCCCTGAGCCACCGGTGGAGCACTGAGCCACCGGCCGAGTCCGGAGCCGGAGCTGGAGCCTCGAGCCCGGCACCGGTATAGCCCTGAGCCACCGGCCGAGCTCTGAGCCACCGGCCGAGTCCGGAGCCGGAGCTGGAGCCCCGAGCCACCGATGGAACACTCAGCCACTGGCCGAGCACTGAGCCGGTGGCCGAGTCCGGAGCCGGAGCTGGAACTGTAGGCCAACGGTGGAGCTCTGAGCTACTGGTGGAGCCCTGAGCTGGCAGCCGAGCTTCTCAACAATACCAGTGGAACCCTGAGCCACCGGCCGAGCTCTTGAGCCGGCGCATATGCCGAACCGAACCCGTCTGACCTGCCTGAACCTCTGAGTCCACAGTCAAATTCCCAAGCCACGGACTGAGCCCCTGAAATACCGACCGACCTCAACTCCTCCTCCTCCAATCTCCTCAGTTCCTTCCCTCGCATACTCGGAACTAGAGATGTCAATCGAAACCAACTTTTTGGTATACCGATACCAAACCGATACCAACTCGGTATTTGGTATTTCAATCTTAATGAGTTTGGTATTTTGTTGGTATCATGAGCCCTCGCTAATGTTTAAAAGGCTAAGAAATCGGTAAAAAGTTGGTATATTCCTCATGTTCCCAAGTTGGTTTGGTTTCGGTATTTCTCCACGATTTTGGTTGGTATTTGGTTTGGTATCGGTATTCCGATTTTCCGTAATTGACATCACTACTCGGAAGCCAAAAATAGCTTGCACAGAAACGTCTCTTTGTCTCATCATTCTCCGGTAATGTAGCAGTTTTTATACCATGTGACAGAATAGCCACAACACAAGGCATGGTAGTGGGTCCTGCTGTTTTGCCATTGTTGACCTGTGTATCGATCCTGGTTCCTCGGGCGAACGCATTAGCAGTGCCCTGCTCCCACAGCAATAACACATAAATATTTGCCGGGAGGACTATGTAAAGATAAATGAACATTTCCCTGGAAGGGGTAAAGGACGTCGCGCCTGCGCTATTTATACGCATAGCATAACTTTGCCGCGGATTATGCTCAGCGTTTTTAGGTAGCTTCTGGATTCTGATATGACGAAACATTTTATCGGAATCAGGAAAGAAATGCTGTTAGTATGGCGAAGGGCATGCCGATAACGGGTTCACGGTTGGAGAGCACTGAGACAGGTCTCCGTCTGGCGTCCGTCCGTCTGTCCTCCTGACCGTCTGTCCGTCTGTCCGTCTGTCCGTCTGTCCGTCTGTCCGTCTGTCCGTCTGTCTGTCTGTCCATCTGTCCATCTGTTGTCTGTCCGTCTGTCCGTCTGTACGTCTGTCCGTCTGTCCGTCTGTCCGTCTGTCCGTCTGTCCGTCTGTCCGTCTGTCCGTCTGTCCGTCTGTCCGTCTGTCCGTCTGTCAGAGTCATCTTACAGCGGGGAGTCGCGGGCCTCTGACCGATGGTTTCCGCCAGCCTAACGGCCGACAGGATCGCTGGCGCCGCGGGGGTCAGCGGCCTGCCTCGAGCGCTCCGACCTAGACAGACACCCCCCCCCCCCTCAGTGCGCCATTCAGCTGACGGGTATTGCGTCCATGGACCATCCATCAGCCAAAACTAACCGCCAGTAGGTACAGGTTACCAGTCACCTCGAGTTGCGGCATCCCAATGGGTGACTGGGTGCGCTCGCCTAAGTGGCTGGTGCACTAACATCCTGTAACCAACGCTGTATATTTTGTCTAATTGTTAATTGTGAGTTGGAATTTCTTTAATGCTTTTTACCATCTCATTCTCCAATGATATAAAGCTGAAACAATTTTATTTTTAACAGTCCTTTAACAGTGTCAATACAATGGCATATTTCCGAGACAAAATGTTACACTACGTTGGTAGCATGAATACAAGATTCATGAAGGAACATTAGAGAATGGATATAATCTATGTGTACGACTTATGACTCACATAGAAGATACAAATGACACATTCCGCTGTTACTGGCCACGCTGGCATCCAACGAAGTGATATCTATTGGCCTAGGGCGGATATTAGTTCCATCGCACGGATATTAATTCCAAATGACGTGCAAGCGTGAGCCTGTTGCCATGCGCCCATTCTTATAGTTATAAACTGCTGGTTATAGGGGAGACCCGGGAGGTATGGGCCCCCTGGAGGTATGGGCCATCGCAGTTTTGAAGAAGTGTTGCGTGTTTTTACACATTTGACCGCGTAAAATGGTAGCTGCCATTCCGTTATACAACCCACGTGATTTTTTAAATCTTCCTCAGTCTTCTTTGGCAATGAGCGGTGATAAAGCGTTTTTGCCCTCTTCGAGTAAAATACTGTACATACAGGAATTCGTGATAAATTTGAAACAGGCTCGTTTTATGATGTCAGACCAATGCTAACATTAAGTTTAAAGCATGTAAATTAAGGCTGGATAGACAATTTGAAGCTTTCTTGCAAGATTATGAGCTGAGTTGCTAGGCAAATTCTGGTGTCCTAACCGGGAGGTTCGGGCCACTCACCCCCGTTGATCATAAATCAATAAAAAGATGCTCTCATTGAATGTCATCTTCAATAAGTTTTGTTTTTGTTTTTTGTCGCGCAAGGTTGAAAATTTACCTTCAAATTTCATTCGAACAGAAAATATTACATATTTTATTTCATGGTGCATGATTGAGTTTACCAAAATGCATATGTGCCCAAGTGACCTACATGAAGTAAGCTGTTCACCGCTTATGCGGTTCCTGGGCTCTAAGAGAGATCAAGGTAGATACCAGCTACGAGTATTGTTCTCATTGTCGAGAAAAGGATATGAAACATGGCGCCGGCCCATACCTCCCGGGCCATGGCCCATACCTCCCGGTGTATTTTGATGGATCTAAAAAGCGCATGATTTATTTAAAGTTATCTCGAGACAAAATAGTTGATCCCAAATGCCTAATATCAGGCACACTTTGCAGGTGAAAGGCAATTTCACGTGCACAGAGTGAAAAACCGGGTGTAGCCACCGCCCACTGGAAGAAAATTGCCTTTTCACAAAACCGGCCCATACGTCCCGGGTCTCCCCTACATATGTGGTCGTGCTCGTGGTAGCATTCTATTTTAGGAAAAGCCCAGCATGAAATAAAAAAGTATCTTGCATCAAAACTAGGGGAAGCAAAATCTTGTCACTCATCTACTCTCGAGGAGGGTCACTGCCATAAACCAGCCTGCAGTGTTCCTGGTGACGCTACTATGTCGGCGCCGCCGCGTCCATTCTCGGCTCAGGGCCGCCGGATTCCGCTGTACCCATTGTGTGGACCACTTTGCGTCGGAGCGCGGCAGCGGCAGTCTGTAATCGGCGGGCCAAGTGCCGTCTTTTAAATACAATGCATGCCAAGCTCGGCTCGGCGGAGAGAGAGCCTCGCCTTGCCTTGTCTCGTCCGCCCGCGAAAGGCTCTTGGCCGGGCAGAGGAACAACGTTATCTTTTGCTTTCCCATCCCATCCCGTAGTTCTGCTGTGGAATCCGTACGTACACTGGTACAGCTATGATATAGGTGGCTATATCATATCTGTGTTCATAAATCATTCGTTGCATACACTGAAATAATATTGTTATATCGGACAATACATACACCGTCTCCAAGGCAATAATTTTCAACTATTCCTTGTATGGGTCTCTGCAAACGTTCCAATCTAAAAGGCCAATCCGTTTAAGTGGTTCAGAGGTAATTTGGAGATAGAATGCATCAACATCTGGGAAATACCTAATTTTCCGCGGACACTTTTCCTATTGGGGATTTTTTATGTTTCACAAAGTCGCAGAAGGCGTATAATCGAAATAAAAACATCGCAAAAAAAACTCACCAAAATCAAAATCAAAATTTGCTTTACCACAGTCACTCCTGAAACAACCTTTGAAATGTGTTTTTTTTTTTAGGAGCTGAGTTGCCGATTTCTTGCAGTCTGCATGCATTATTGCTTAAATTGTTTGAAGTCCATTCCATTTTTGTCGGCAAAAATGAAGTATTCTGACGCAATTTTCGACTATCCCACCTTGAGCCCGTTATCCACGTGCCGCCCGCACGGATGGCGCCGACGCTCATAGGAGCGGCTGCAGCTGGGCTCGGCTGAGAAGTCTGTTCGTTTTAAAGTGGACAACTCTGGCAAACGAGGCGGCGCCGCCGTGACCCAGACACCCCGTATCCCCGCCCCCCCCCCCCCCGGTCGTGCGAGGATTCAACTCGGGACACCACGCTCAGCCGCCAATGGCAGTGGCCCTGGCCACATTCTAGGAAGGAAGGGCTGCGCGCAGAGTCCAGACACGTTGAACTTTGGTCTTTGCACATGCAAGTTATGTCGTTTGCCCTAAGTCGTGGTACGGCGAACATCTTGTATGTACTCGGTAAGTACATGGCTCACTTAATCGACACATGCAAGGAGGAAGCAGGCTTGAGAAAAGGCAAGAAAAAATACTCGTAACACTTTGGCTTTCATCTGATTGCCTGAACACCAAACTAGTTATAATCGAAGCATATTGTTTGGAAAACTATTAATTTTGATACAATTGTCCCAGGTGACGCCTACCGTCTCAAGGGACTCAAGCACTGACTGAGAGTCCGATCGGCAGTGCAGTAGTTTTAGCCGGCAGCGGGCGCATAGTTCCAGCCAGCCAAAGGTGTACTGTACGACTGACCAGCAGAGAGTGAACGAATGACCTAATGGGAGCTAAAGCCCAAAACGCGGGGATGTAAGTCACTCCGACGAACGCAGACCCAATAATCATGAGAAAGAAGCTACAACAGCGTCACAAATAATCGCACATCACGCCGTCCAACTCGGTATCTATGCTACGAAGGCTTTTAATGGATTGTGGTATGAATTGTGTTACGGGAAACACTGAGATGACAATTTTGGATTGTATCGCTTGAGGTTATTTCCGTTTTGTGCATATATCGGGCCTCTAGAGATAGTTTGTTACATATTCATGTTGCCCTTGACATTAATTAAAGGCGAGATGCTAATTAACATTGCCCCGCTGCTTAACGCTTAAAACGGCATGGGAGAGACCACAAGCCACGGGAGATAAAATTGGATACGGCCGTGTGACTTATATTAGAAGTCCTAGGAAGCATAGGTATTATAAGTTGTAGTTATATTTATACCGTAGGGGGAACCCCGTTACAGGTAGTTAAAACTCCTCAGTTGAAGTTGTTACGTAAAATAAGCATGACATCGAGATATCAGAGTGAGCTCACCTGTGTCCAGATCACTGACATCCTGCAGGTCCAGCAGCGACAGACCCTCGTCAGCGGGGCTCGAACTGGCCCCAGCCGCCGACCAGAGAGAGATCAGGGCCAAGAGACGGACACACAGCCTGATGGGGAGTGTGGATCCACCTCGTCCACACAGCCGGCCGCTGGATCCACACAGCCGGCCGGTGGACCCATAGTTTCCACAAAGCTGGTCGATGAATTCATAGCTTCCACACAGCCGTTGGGTGAGGCCATCGTTTTCGTAAAGACAGTCGGCAAACCCATCGCGATCGACACGTGGACGAGTCATGGTGGCTGGCTACCGCAGCTCGCCGCTATCTCGGTCTGTGGCTGTCCGCGCACTGGCAGTCACCGTCACCAGTACCAGTGTGATATCACTGTCACCACCGATGAAGTATCCACTGTCACTGATGAAGTCTAGACACGACTGGCACCAAGACTGCTGTCACTGTCACTATCGCTGGACAACCCCCACTGTCACTGTTGATTCCCAGGTGCGATCAGATCATTGCTCTCACCAACGAACGACAAAGATCACTTGTCATCATTGTCAGATCATCCTCACTGCAGTCATCAATGCCGGGTAGCATTCACAGCTATTACTGCCGTCCTTTTGCGCTGCTCTATCTGCTGTATCCGTCTGCGGCCCCCGGAGATACACGCTATATTTATGGACCGTTGCCAGCACTCACTGGGACTCCTTTTTGCGACGTCCTATTCACGATCGAAGCCTGTTCATCCTGTCGCCTGCGCCGGTGTCACCATTCACTAGGCCGATGGCTCTCTTCTCAGTCCAGTAGCGTCTGTGACGGCTCTCTCTTCAGTCGGATGACGTCTGTGACGGCTCACTCCTCAGTCGGATGACGTCTGTGACGGCTCACTCTTCAGTCGGATGACGTCTGTGACGGCTCACTTCTCAGTCTAACTGCGTCCATCGGCGCCCGGCGCGTCTTTTCACCGTCTCGCCGCCGTCTTTTCACCGTCTCGCCGCCGTCTTTCGGCCGCTCGCTGGCTGCTCGCTCCACCACTCTCGGTCGGTGGCTCGGCGGTGGGATCAGCGGCTCAGGCGGCGGCTGTCGAGATGGCCCGCGCGCCGCTGCAGCCTCCTCCCGGTCGGATCAGCGCCGTAATGTCGGCGGCATAATGGGGGCATCCGTCGAGGGCGACGCGTCGGCACCGGCGCCGTGAGCCGGCCCCGGGCGGCGGCAGAGGCGGCGGCGGCGTGAGACGGCCCCGGGCGGCGGCAGAGGCGGCGGCGCCGTGAGACGGACCCGGGCGCTACGGACCCGGCGGTGGAGGCGGCGGTGGTGGCGGTGGCGGAAGAGACGGTGATGTGGGCGGCCAATCCTCCGCAGCCGCGGTTCAGCCTATCTCAGTGCAGCTCTGAAAAAGAGACAAAGTAAACGTTCAAAGCCGGTGGCGAGCCGGAGCCAGCGGCTCGCTTGCAAGGTGGAGCGACGCGACATCCGGTTTCGTAAGGCGTCGTAAAGCGACATACGAGTATGACCGGATGAGTGGCAACAATTACTGTTAAGGATTGAGCGAGCCATCCCTTTGAAAGATATTAAATGTTTGCTGGAAGACAGGCGACATCTCAAGAATAATTTACGAAGTTTTGGAATAAATGTCTCGGAAGGATCATATATGTTAGATTTGGACAGCATTTTATTAAATATATTATTAGATCATATGATGTAGAATCCATAACTTTGATAAATATACATAATTGTTCTCAGTAAGCTTCTACCAAGCCAGAAGACGAGCATTTGATACATCAAAGGTATGAAATATGATATAATTGTTCGGGGAAATAATAGCCACCAACAACACTTAATTCACAGTTGGTGTCGGTGATCCACGCCAATTACCAAGTGCCGGGAAAATGCAGCAACCTTTGCAAACAGGTATATCCCCGAGTCCTAGGTCTCAACTAATTGGCATATTGCTCCTGTCGGCTACAGGTAGGACTCGAAAGCTCATCAAAAGTTGTCTCAACAGCACTTGAGTGACTGGCAAAAGATGGATTAAGCCAAAGTCGGAAAAAGCTTCCAGCTTCCTTGTTTACTAATACATTTTGAAGTAAATTGATCATTAACATAGCTAAATGTGTTGTTAAGCGAATAAACTGGCCTGTTTGTGTTCCCTGCAGTAGGTAAGTTATGAAAACTTCGACGTAGTTTCTCATCCGTGCACGAAGTGAGCTCCGAGTTGTGCAAAGTTCAGTACCATATCCGTGTCCAATGTCCATTGTCCATTATAATCCAAGCCATTAAAATTGTCGTGTTATCCCAGCTAGCCTAAACTACCTGTGCGAAGATAAGAAGTGTGAGTAACATTAACACAGTGTTATTAATCACCCTCAGTTGCACTGAGCGCTGCGCGCCGTACCGCGAACGACCCGTCCTAGGTGACCTCTGCAGCCTCATACAGCCCACTCCGTTTTGAATAAGTGCTTAATATCCAGTCGCGGCGTCTATTGCGCCGTGCTCCCGTGGGACAACGGCGAGTTTAACGAGCTGCGCAATCACGCCCCCTCCTCCCCCCTCCTCTTCTTTCAGTGCTGCTAGCCTGCAGATCTGGGTAGGCTAGGGGCACCCCACACTCCACAGCTGATGCGAGGCTCTCAAAGTGTAAGATGTTTTGTGCTACAAAAGTGGTGAGTAATGAAAGACCAATATGATCATTTACATATCTGTATTCGCAAAGATAGATAATAGCCGTTTTCACGACGGCCAGCTTGTTCACATTTGGTGCAAATCAGGTGCAGATTTGGTACAGATTTGGTCAAATTAGGCTCATTGTGGTTCTAAGTTAACAGTTTGGGTTGCATAGATGCCTATACATATGCCTCATTTTTCAAATTATCAGACCTTATTTTCCATTAAGGCACTGAAACAAAATCATGATATAAAAAGATTTGTTGTATAAGAGATTTGGTGCATATTTGGTCAAATTAGGTGCATTCGCCAGATAGCCCGTCGTGAATATGGCTAATATTAAAGAGAATTGAAAATATAGTTATAATAAATAAGCAAAGGACTACAAATAACGGGCTGAGACGGCACTGTCAACATTTTATCTGTGACCAAGGACGGTTAAACGAGACACGGTGAGCACTTTGAACTGAGCAATTTTTTCAACTTTTAGCTGAAGTACTTCAATCGGGGTCATTTGACGTGGTCAGTCGTTTTCGTCCGGCTGGCAATGTCTGACCACTATTAGCTGGACGTATTGCCTCGGCGGCTCACAGCGAACTGGTTGATAAATCGCAGTGCGTCCAATCGAGCGTCGTTAGCGGTTATTGATAGCGCCATGGAGAGGGGGGCTGGCAACGGCTGTCCCAGCGACTGACTGGTTTCCGGCCAATGGGTTGAAAGTCAATGCCACCAAGACTGAATTGATTGCGTTTGGCAGCCGGCAGAGCATGCGTAACCTGCCTGACATAAATGTAAGATTTAGAGATGCCGTCTTGAAACCGTGTCAAAAGGTCAAGAATCTGGGCGTGACCTTCGATTCTTACCTCACCTGGGATGACCATGTTGCTGCCATTGTTGGTAAATGTTTCGCAGCGCTGATAAGATTGAGCCAGTTGCGCCACTACATACCCGAGGATACGATTGTGACGCTTGTGACTGCCCTTGTTCTCTCACATGTGCGGTACTGCCTGCCCGTTTACGGGAACTGCTCGAAAGGGAACCTCGCACGACTTGATAAGGTTATTAATTTTGCCGCAAGGGTTGTGTCTGGCCGTCGCAAGTATGACCACGTGGCTGATGTAAGGGACGCGCTGGGGTGGCTCTCGGCTGGTGACCTATCGTCGTACGATACGCTGGTGCTACTGCACAAGGTTATCCGAACGGGCGAGCCAGCTGACATTGCCGCTATGTTTCGCCGAAATGAGGAGATGCGCGAGCGAGCGACTAGACGGGATAGCAGGCTGTGGCTACCTGGCATCCACACAGAGGCGGGGCGGCGAAGGTTCAGCTACCGTGCAGCCATGCAGTACAACGCTCTGCCCAGTGATTTTCAGGACATGTCAACAAACAAGCTCAAACGTCGCTTTCAACACTGATTTAGGCTTATGCATATGGGTTGCATGTATGTCAGCTGTATATATTCATGCATAGTTAGCCAAGCGTTTTGGTCAGTTTTGTGTGATATGTTGAGTGTGATGTCTTTTTGTTCCCTTCTCATATGACGCGGGAGCGTAATAGCCACAACTACCTGTGGATGCCCCCCAGATGTTAAATACAATAGTGAAGCCGGTCGCCTTTGGTCAATGATGTGTCAGCCGTCGGCAAGAAGGGGGTGTTGTTACAGCAGAGTCTCAGTGATGAAGCTTAGCAGAGCTCACTTTTGAGAATGCGGTTGAAAGAAAGGCCGTGCCGTGAATAATCGCTATTTTAGGGTTGGGTGGCTTTTTTTCAAAGCCGATACCGCAATGCATTTGCCAAGCTTCAACTGCAGTAAATGCATCAAAGAGTCGCGGCTGTAGCGTGGAGCAGCTTTAAAAATTCGTTCGATGGGCGGTCGAGCACTGCCTTGATCTTCTCGTAAGGTAGATGCAAAACCTAAAAGAAACTTATCCAATGCCTATAAGTGGTAATGAGGCGATAACATTATATCTTCCATAAAAATATAAAATACTTTTTATCACCTCAATCTTCATGCAGCGAAAGCATGCAGTGATTGGAGTACAGTATGTTAACCCGCGCCCCGTAGGGCTATCGGCGGAACCTGCCACCCATTGAAGGAGGGGGGCGGCGTTTCACCCCCCCCCCCCAAGATCTCAGAAAGTTACCGGCCGATTTTCAAAATTTAAGTGGCATTGGATCGGAATTTACCTTGCGACCCAATTTCATTACCCTTGGTCAAACCGATGATGTCACAGGTCAGATCAAATGTCGCATTTTCACCGTTTAGAGGCATTTCAAGAAATGTGTTGTAAAATCGAGTAAAAGGCATGTTATTGAAAATCATCGATGGTGGAATTGTCCGTAAAACACATATTTTGCTATTTCAGGTCATTATACTAGGTCAGGTCACAGAGGTCAGGTTACTGAGGGTCACAATACGAAAGTGTCGTGTGAACTGTGATATACATGTTTTATGGTCCATTTTACATGACAAATGAGATTATGTGGGTTAGGCGGCCTTTGGGGCTAGATAAGGTTATGTTATGGTGAAGGTCAGGTCAAGGTCAGGTCAAATCAGGTCAAATTTAAAAGTTGATGCTTTTGCATAAAATGGGTATTGATTCGATGCAACTTGTCACGGGAAGTCTAATGGTGGTCTTTGTTTTGCACTACGTGGTCTAGAATGGCTAAAAAATGGGTTTGAAAATTTGCGTCATCAATTTTGAAACAGTTTGACGCTATAAATTGGGAAAAAGGTATCAATCTAAAATTTGCTATGCGGATAGAAGGTGGAAGGGACTATTATATTTATTCCGTTTTTTTTCGAATTTCGACAAAATTAGGATTTGTTGACTGTTATTTAAAAAAAACTTTTTTTTTATTTTTGGGAGTCAAAATAAAAAAATATGAGATAGCAATTGTATAGCCCTATTAGTTTTACACCTTTTCCTTCTTAATCATTTTCTTTATCTTCAAAGTTGTAGGCCTGACAGCTCTTCCCGTGAAAACTTTCTTTTTGGGTCGAAAATAGCAGAACATGAAGTCATTCTGACGTCATTTGCGGCCAACTCATCATAGCCTCTGGAAATGTCTTTGGTCACAATGTGTAAAATTGATGCCTGGAGGGGTCCTTAAAGGTTGGTGACGATATCTGCAGTCGTTTAAGAGATGTCGGCGGAAAAGGACAGGGGGCCCTTCTAGCTCCCCTACGGAGCACGGGTTAATATAACTCACAGTAAGCAAATCGCAGACTCAGCCTTTTCAGGGTTAACTAAAGTAACCAAATCGGCTCTCTATAATCAACTACCCTTTCAGCAGCGTTAGTTGGTCGTCTACATATCTGATGTCCAATCTGCATCAGCCGTTAGAGTAGAGCTCTGTGAGGTAAGGCCAGCACCCAGTGCAGCGTTTTGTCTTTAGCTCTGTTTTGAATAGCACTCAGGACCTATATGCCCACGACGCCATTTACTGTCAACTCTCCAAATCCTCTTTTCAGAGATATGTATCGGTTTATCCCATCTGCATAGCAATCTATTTTGATGAGCATTACCTACCTCACTGGTGG